ATACGCATACTACTCCTCTAGCTTATCAGCAACCAGCTCCAATATCTCCCGGGTTCCCTTCCCCACATTCCTCAGATCCTTCGCAACACCCGGCCAAACAAGGCCATGATGCGGCTCTGCTTGCACACACCTCACCCTCACCTCCTCCCTCTGCTCCTCTACTCCATGCTGTCTCTCAAACTTCAACCACCACCCCCACAGATCGCCTAGATCGCCGTCCATTCCGACAGCCCTCCCGAACCACTGCCGAGCCTTCTCCACCTTCCTCTCCGCCCAAAATAGCCGGGCGACCGTACAAATAACGACGGCGCTACCACCACCTTCTCCACCGCCGGTTTTCTTTAGCGCATCAGCCGAGCGGGCTTTCCTCATCGGTCTCGGCTCGCTCCATATGCTCTTGGACCAAAGAACTCCGCTCGTTGGACAATCCTGTAGGGCGCGAGAAAGAACCTGACTGGCTCCGCCGCCGGACCGCTCTTCCACCCCTATGGATTCCAGCCACAGCCACTCATTTCCAGGGTTAACTTGCCGAGCTTTCTCTAGGAGAGCGCGGGCCTTTATGCTTTTGCCGTCTTTTTCTTCCAGTCGGCTCGCTAGCATCCAGAGCGTCGGCTCTTTGGGACAAGATTTGATCCCCGTAGCGTACGACGCGCGTGCGGAGGGGATGTCATTCCGGTCTTCGTATATCTGTCCCTGTACCATATACAACTTCGCAAACTTGGGAAACTTCTTGAGAGCGGTGGACAGAGTCTTGAGCGCTTCATCGATCTGTCCTTGCTGTCGCTCGAAGACGGCGGATTTCATCCAGATCTGTAAGAGAAATATTAGCAGGATGAAGCAAAGTATCATCACACTAACCCTCTGAGTATCTGCGACATCTCTCGCCCGGACGAGCAGCTGTCTCGCCACGCCCGTCTCACCATTCTCCGCTTCAAGTTTGACCGCTGCAAGCCAAATCTGCTCACTCTCCTGATTGGCAATGAACGCTCTTTCGAGGACGCCTCTTGCCCCGGGAACATCTCCAGCTAGCCACTTCTCCTTGGCAGCCATCAGCCACAGAACCTCTGCTTGCGGACAGCACTCTACAGCGCGTGCCAGCAGCTCATCCAATCCCTCTCTAGTGCCATGAGTTTTTTCCAGGTCTGCTGCACGTTGCCACAGCGCACGTTTATCCGGATATACCTTCAGAGAGTACGCCAAGATAGCTCGAGCGGTCCCGACCATTCCTCGTCCTTCAGCAGACTCTGCGTCGCCTATCCACGTATCCAAACGGTCCTCGTCTTCGAGCTCCATGCCAACCGTAGCTTTAACAATCGCCTCGCATGTTCTCACTGATCCCTCGCTCTCACACCGTTCGGCCTCTTTCAGCCACTGCTCTCGCGTAAGCAGCACCTGATGCCGCCGCAACTCGCGTAGACCGGCCTCTATGGTCTTATCCACAGTATCCATCTCTTTCTTCTTCTTCTCAGAATCTTCGTTTTTACCCGCCTCCTGCTCCAACAAGCGTCCAGCGGCGATCCATATCTCGTGAGACGTCGGGACCGCTTTACGGGCTTTATTCAGAACGGCTTTTGCTTTGTCAGGTGTCTCGATACGCGCCAGGGCAAGCCAAAGCTCCACCGAAAGCGGGATTACTTCAACGGCACGGGAAGAGTAAGGTACGCGCATCTGTGGCCGAAGTCTCCAGGTTGACAGTTTCCTTCCATAATCGAACGGAGTTGGGGATATGTTCCAGGGCTAGGCAAGGTACGGTGAGGAATGTTCATCAGCGAAACAAAAATAATACCTTTTCTTAGCACCCTCTTCTTCGCCTTAACATCTCCTTCTAAATCCGCCGCAGCGAGCCAAATCTTGACGCTCTGACCGACATGTTGCACGGCATTGGCTAGTATCACCTTGGCATCGTCATTGCTCTAGAAAAGTTGATTAGATATGGCCAAATATAAACGTTCGCTTACATGTAACCTCGCCGCCTCCAACCACACATCCTCACTGGCGGGGCATCGTTCGCATCCTTCACGAATGAGCTTCCTCGCGGCGACCATACGACCAGCATGCTCTTCTAAACATGCTGCAGCAATCCACCCAGGAGCGTGTTTTGGATTCGACTTTACCAGCGAATCGAAGAGCATGCGCGCGCGCTTAATGTCGCCGATTTCGGCGGAAGACTTCAGTTGGACGCTGTCGAGAGAGGTGAGGTAACCTTTAGGGTCGATGGAAGTGGACGTTCCAGAGGCAGCCGAGAGAAGTAGCAGTACCGGATATCTGTAAGAAAATATGAGACCTCATTCTTGCAAAGAAAAAAAGACAAACCTGATCCAGTTTTAGCGATAATATTTTGTCTCTTGCCTGGCCAATTTCCACAAAGTTTGTCAGAGTGCCAGCATTTGCGGGGGTTTCCTGTCCGTCTTGAACGACATTCCCTATGCCACCTCTCTCTCTATCTCCCACTAATATGCTATCCGGAACGACGTAGGTTTTCCCCTCAGTTTTCCGTTTCTTGCGTGTCAAGTTGCCGACTTCCGGTATACCCTCCCACTCGGCATCAGTAACCGCCGTCAGTCCTCGTTTCAAATCAGCAAATTGAGCTTGAATTTTTGGGCGCTCTGCCCGGTGCTTCGCCATTTCAAGCTGCTCCTGAGCTTCCCTGAACAGTAAGTTAGGGCGAGGTGAATGCTGATGAAGTATAATTTCATACCTCCGTGCTTTTCTCCTCGCGTCCATAGCTTCATCCACCTTTTCATAGATCCGATCCGCTTCCTCGTCATCTGCTTCGTATGTCGTACCAGCAAAGAGACCGTATTCGTTGTCGGGATCCTGGAATTGGTCAGGATCTACCTCTGCCTCTTCGCCGCGTCGAGCTTGGGCTTCACTGAAAAGTAGTGAGTAACATTTCGAGACAAAAACAACTCGGCATACGCAATAACCTCAGCGCTGGGACCCTCCCGTGCTGGACCAATATCGGACCGTGTCGTAAACCCAGAAGCACTGAGACAGAATTAGAATACATCAATTGCGAAGATAATGCAGACGTACCCTCGTCCTAGACCAGCGACGTACGATGCCGGTGCAGGCATAGACAGGAAGGCGAGTTTGTTGGGTTTTCCAGCCATATTGAAGCTAGGGGAGCGCCGATTTTTGAAGAAAGCTTGGTACTTTTCCTGTGGTTGTCGTCGTTGTCGTCCCAAGGGGTGCTTGGCGTCGCCCTCGACGCGTTATAGGGAGGATGGCGGTTTAGGTCAAAGTGAGAGCGTGACGTGACAGATGTCGTCAGCGTGACTATTCCCAAAACCGGTGACATTTCAAACTCCGTCACTTTCTGGTTAGCGTTTCCTCTTCCCCCCACGCGTGCAGTGCACCCAATGGGAAGATTGGGAACTGTCGAAAGCATTCCATAAAACTTTTGGGCATCCCCATAATTACTTTGCAAGTGTCATTTATCGCTACCTAGGTCTGTTGGAGGTTGTGCCTGGGCTCTGTTTCTTACCTTCGAAACTTGAAAGTTCGAACTTTCAAAAGTTTCTGAACAGTCTCACATTCAGCGCACGTGCTGAAGCTGGAGTCTGCAAGAGTCTGCACCACGTTTATGCATTTTACCTCTACGTGTTCCTTGATTTGACACCGTAACTGCCTTCATAATCCTCGACACTGATGCGATCACGAATAACTGCTCTCTAAACGATTGTCTCCTCTTCGTGATCCCCGAATACCCGCTGCGATAATATAGCTCTGGCCCATATTCCCCGCTCCCACGGACCTCTTATATTGGCTGATTCCTTTGTAACCATCACTGTTTCATTGCTGCTGCGCCTTTCCTACAACGGTCAAGCCTATGTAATTTTAGCCCTATTGATGGCTAAACTGATGCAAACGGCTGATAATACCTCCGTATCGACCATCACCACGCTCTTTGTCTTTTACCACCACCACCGTCTCTTTAGTTTTTGCCTCTGCGAGGTCTAGTTCTTTCTTTCAGACCTTCGTCTTTCTATCATGCTGGCATTTTCATTCCTTTTTGCACTCGTCTTCGCCCTCCCAGGCGGTACGTTGTTGTCCCAGCTTTCGATGACCCTGTACTTACGTGCTCATGTAGTCCTCTCGCACCAATTCTATGACCTGGCGTCTCCGCATATCTACCTAGCCGCTCGCCAATCAACTAAGAACCTGACGGAACTGCCTCAATCCTCAATCCCATCGGCATGTTCCGCGAACTGCACTCAAACTGTGATCACGTATCTCAGCGTAAGCCGTGTTCCTCGGCTCATATTCTGATATATGTTGCCTAACCGCATCATCCAGAACTGTTCGACAACTGAATGCATGTGCGACGATCAGACGGATCAGTCAATCGTATCCTGCGTGAACTGCGTGGTCGCCCAAGGGAATATTACCAGTGACATCGGCAAAGCTGTTATCGCTCGTGAGTCCCGTCGCCAATAATGCAACGATGACTCACCACCCTTTTTATTCCACCTCAGAATATGGTGCTACCTGTTCTAAGTTCGGTGTTACCCTTACTAGCGACAATGGTGCTTCCGTAATCCAGGTTGGGTTGGTTGGTACTGTTTTGGCTGCCGTGGTTATGTCCATGGTTGTCTAGAGGGCAGGACCTTCGTAGAAATTGATCCCAATTACTTATCCCATAGTCACGGTGCTGGTGCGCTCGGTGGAAATACAAAGTAGTCTGTCTTTAAGTCAACTCTTAAGCGGTCTTGTTCGGCGTAAATGGGTGTTCAAAGGGAACATTTTCTTTCCTTCTTCGGGACAGATCACTTCAACTTCGGCCAAAAGAGTGCCGAAGTTGATGTTAGGCTGATGCCGAGGCAGGTGTTGCCGGCTAAAGCCGCACAGAGCACCGGCAAGGCCGCGGCACAATCGGCATGTACACCATAGGCGAGCGGGGGAAGACAAACCCACCGAGCGCAGCGAGGAAACAACCGCGGCGAGCATAGCAAACCCACGAACGCAGCGAGGAAAACAGGCCACGCCCACTGAAAAAGAACTCCTGGTGGGACTCGAACCCACAACCGCCAGATTAGAAGTCTGGCGTCCTAGCCATTAGACGACAGGAGCAACGGGAGGATCTCAAAGTCAACAAGGACATAGCGCGCTGGCACTCTTGCCCGCATGACACGCCAGAGACCGTCGCACGCGCACATTCTCTTGTATCATCGACGAGGTGCACCCATTCCGCAAGCACCTGTCTGGCGACGACGAACTCCTGCTGTCCCGCATGACATGCCCGGAGACTCTGTGCGCGCATCCTAGGGTCGTGGAGGGAAAGTATGCGCGAGGGCATGCACAGACTCTGTGCATGCATAAACCTTGCACAGCAGACTTGGGTGCGCGCCGCCGTCGCGTCGAGTTTCGAGGAAAACTGGGACACGAGCAAGAGTCGATTGAACGACACCCGTCATCTCCTCGTCACAGAACCACCAAAACTTGTGGTGCAGATCGCTGAAGTCCCGCAAAGGGTTGTAGAAGTCTGACGTCATAACCATCAGACAACGGGGGCATGTGTGGGTAGGTACCTGAATGACATATTATTCAATCTAGCGTACAGTCCCGTGTGTGTAAGTTACTTCTACTTTTACGTTTCCTCTAGATTGCTGAAAATTGAAGGGCTCGGCGGATTGCACCCGCGATATATCCGAGTCTACCACCAACGGTTACTCACACTGACGCCTCAGGTTATCCTATGATCAACTCCCTCACCATCTCGAAATTTTCACCTCAAGTACGTACGCCGTACCTGTCATTGGTTCGATTCATCCGCCCCTTGCATCAGGATCTTCCGACTTTCAAAGAACCCGAAATAATCCTTAAAGGATGACCGAAATACAGGCCCAAGCGCTTATCTATGACCCTCAACACCTGCCGGCTCGGATGCTCTGTTACATATCAGTAAGCTATCGGACTGTTGTATTGTTCCTAGCTGTCGCTAGAGATGTCCATAAATCATGCGATGACTCTTGACTTTAGATATCTCTTGGGCAACGTTCCAGGCCCGTTCACCTGGGGTCGCCGCAAGTCTAACGCGACTTCGTAGTGCAGCGGCAACGAAGTTTTGAGGGACATGGGACACGAGCAAGAGTCGATTTCGAATACCTTGGACGATACCCGTCATCTCCTCGTCGAAGAACCTCGATATAACCAAAACCTTGCAAAATTACCTTACTTTTGGCTAGATGAACGACCCTCTTTGCCCGGCCTGCAGTCGGGCTCCGGTTATTCTTCACTCGCCCCCGCAATCTCGACCCCTTGTCTAGACTGTCCAGAATACTTTCCCCGCTCCCCGTGAGTCTCTCTGGCATATAAAAGCTGCGGGGTCGCTGCCGAACCATTAACTTCCTACCTCCGCATCGAAATGGCACCTGCACCCGCACCGCTCTTCCTTGCTCGTCTGGGGGCGTACACCATGGCATTTGCGTGGGGCGCTATCAGCCTTTCCACCGGTCTCAACACGGTAGTGAAGCAGAACCAGCTCAAGTCCTTCCTCCGGAGATCCGTCGCACCCCTTGGAATCACTCTAAGACTCGTTACGAACAGTACGTTCGATCCTTCGTTGTCTCCCACTCAACATAACGCGAGAGTATAGGTGTCGTCCATCCTGCCATAGCTTCCGAAGTTTTCTGTGTCATCACGGCCCTGTACTCCCTCGCTGCCGTCATTAGTTTGTTCGTCGGCTCAGGTACTACGAGCAGAAAAGCTATTTCTATCCATGCATACGTCTTCACGTTCCTTACCGTCGCACTGTTCGCTTGTCAGATTCCAGTATCTGACGCGGTCCGCCGAAAGGGCGTTGAGATCTGGGGATGGAAAGATGGTGTCGCGGTGCCCCCAGAGACGCTCCTCGAGGCTGCGGCATCACTTGGAGTCAACCCTCTGTACAGACACATTCACTTCAGTAAGTCTTCCATCCCGGCAGTATTGTATCGTTGAGGTTCATCTTTTGCTAGTCCTCTGGTTCGGAATCATTCCCTGGTTCGCGTTCTTGTTCACCCTCATTTCGGCGATTGTGTCCTTCTCGGCATTGAGAGGACTGAGAGAGAATACCCAGCCTCTGGCCAAGGCTAGGGATGCGCCCATGTCCCAAGTCGCTTGATTCTCGCAGGCCATTCGACTTCCCTTCCATTCTTCTGCCTCCACACCGTTGATGCTTCAAAATGACCCCCAGATTTTATGCTCTTTACGCCTTCAGTTCTGAATAAATTACCATTTGATTTTACCCTTTGTAATTTGTACCATCGTCTGGATGAATACCACGTTATTGTTCCAAGACTTGCGAATGAAGTTCTTCTCAGCCTATTCATACATATATAACACACACACGAGGGAACTGAGAAGATACACTGACAAAGGCCTAGGTCTCCCATCGGCTAGCACTCCTCGATCTTCGAGATATTCCTTGCGGCAGAGAGTACCCTCCTTCCATCTTCCATGCGTGAACAGTCACCGCGAGCCATTGAAGCCGAAGGAAGGTATATTCTTCTCAGACACCATAGACGACCCTGGTTGAGAACACCTTGTAACCCCATACCATCTTGGCTCATTGTCCAATCATATCGTGACGGCGGAAGATGAGTGGGAGTTCGCAACATCGTATCCAGACACAATACTGCACCCAGTACGTCGGTTTATCTTCATGCTTGGATGCAACATGCAGACCGAGTAACGGCTAATGTGATATATAACCAGGGTAGCAGTTCCGAGAAATGCTACCGGGAGTTTCAGGAATCGGAAGATCGACAAGAGGATGTCTTCGAGGAACGAGGCGATGGCTCTACTATCTAGCACATCGGAGGAATTCGGAAAAAGGGACTGAGCAGGAATCCTGCTTCCTTGGGTCGTCCGCGTCAAGGAAGTAATAGGTCCGCATGGCAAGGATAGATGCAGTTAGAAAGCATAGGCCGTTTCTCGAAGGGCATCACCAGAACGTCAATAGATCGGCCAGCAGTTGTAGATCAAGAGCGGAGGCACAGGCGGAGCCGATACGCTGCGTCTTTCCAAGCTCAGTGAGACGAGTTACAACACTTTAGAAAGGTCCAAAGTAACACCAACGCTAGCAACTCGCATCGCAGACAAATTCGGATACCCCAGACGCGGATCACTTGGGGTAGCATGGCACCGAAGTTCGTCGACCATCATGCGTTCGGTGACGCCTAAATCTGAGAAGAGATCAACACCCGGGCGCAGTTTGTGCGTTACAACAATATGATGTTCTTCTGCACACGTCGCGGAGATATCCGAAAGATGGGGTCTGTAATCAATGACTATTCACACAGATTAGCAGAAAAAATGCATCATACAGCGCCCGTGAAGAACGTTGGAAATATGCCGCCAAGTTTGCTATAGTTATTGATGTCAGTCATGAAGGAGAATCCGAAGGTTCCTAAACATAAAATCTGGGATACCTGGGGAACGTCCGCTGAAAGCGCTCAAGCGGGTGCATTCAGAGCTTCTCTGTATGACTGGTCTTCGATTCTTGTCCGAGTTTCATCAGTCCTATCGGACGAGCTCCCTTTCTAGTCAACAGATGGTCGCTCTGAGGCTTGACGCCGTCTGACGGTTGCGGTGTGGAGAACGTCACTCGGACTCATTCCTGTGGCAATAACAGATCCTCTGTGTGTGCCACTGCCAGGATCGAGATAGTTACTATGCTCCGATACGTGAAGGGGGGTGGAACAAGGTGAAGAAGAGCTTCGATTTCCGGCCCGTATTTCTTTGTCGGACCTCGGAATAATTCGGGCCGCTACCAGTTCCTCCCAAGTCCAGACGACCACCATCCATTCGACACTCCTTGCCACTGCGAGGTGCAAAGAGTTCTGATTCACGAAACAATGCGAAATACACTGGGATATCTAGTGTTGGTCAGTGGTAGTCCTTCCTTACCCTAGCTATGGTTTTTTGGGCTCAGTATCCGTCACGTCGCCGGAATCCAAAAGTTTCGTCGCTGGAAACTGGTACCGTTAACAAAGAAGGACGCGAAACGTCTCAATCCGTCAACTATTCTGTATTATACATCTTCTCCAACAGATGAACCGCTGGCCTGTCAATGAACTTTGCGCATTACGACTGGTTACTGTTTCATCGTAGCGCGTGCGGCGTTCACGAAACAATCTTTGTCACCAACGGTCAAAGGACATCCTCGACATGCATACAAAGTCATTATCTCGCATCGCAGCTATCCCTATTCTGCTTGACGCCCAGTCTTTAGTTACGCCGTCTAGATTGAGAGTTGAAACGCTGGGCAGGGTGAACGGTACTCACGCAATCAGGCCACACGAAAAACTCTGATGTGTCTACTTTGACTCCAATCATATCTGGAGATTCTGGGCGGATATAACCAATATGATTCTAGAACTTGGCAGCATGTGCCCATGGCAAGGGACATCTCATTTGATATAAGTGTCACCAATTACGACGCTAAGCTCATATCCATAAGAGTTTCAAAATCGAGTGGTGTGTTATATCAACTCATTGACACAGATTTCGAACTTCCTACAGACGCGGGTAGTTGATTTATCTCATCATGGCGCGTCTCTTGCTTCGAACGACAGACCGGCAATTCGAGAAGTTTCATATTACAAGAGGCGCCCGGAGGTAGTCCCATTTTTGTACTTGTAGTGAAAATTCGTTGACTCCCCATCAGGTCGTTACGTGAAGGAACGCAGAAACATTCCCGTGCTGAAAGTTCTTTTCTATGATCACGGCAGGTACGGCAAGGTCCGCGGAACATAGGCTCATGAGATACGTTTGTATATCATCTTCATTAGCAGTGGAAAATATGTTCAACATTCTTATAGATCAACGGCATCAGTCTTATATATCAATGATCATAAGGGAGTCCTTGCAGATGATTAATTGAAGAAATTGCGTACATCTGTTGCAGATGCCTGAACTCAACTCCTGGAATTACGCGTCAGTTCTGATTGGAATCATCTAAGAAAGACAGATTCTGTCAGAACGATGATACTTTATGGGGCGAATGTCCTACGTCCCTGGAAGATCAGACTTCAACTCCGGAACAGCGTCTAAACTGCAGTCCACGTCGCTCGCCGGTTGGCCGTCAT